GATCGAGTTTGGTGATTCCTCAAAGTCCTAACGATACACATCGTCGCTCTGTAGAACTTGGTAGTTTGCTTCATCACTCTGCAGAACTTGGTATTTTGCTTCATCAATGCAAGACTAACCTCGTCAATCTGTCACCTTGTCGACGTTGTCGCGCGGTCGACGTCGTCACGCAATCGCGCAGTTGAGCTATCAATTTTGGCTAAGTCGAACATTTTGCTACCGCGGTAAAGATCGTGCGAGGTCAACTCGGAGTTATGGTAAAGCTGCGGGATCCATCATGGTAAGGTCGCACTGGTGTCGCGGCAATGAGGTGAAGCCGCGCGAGGTAAAACTCAACCACGACGAGGTCAACTTGGATCATCGTCGTGACGAAGCATATCTCCTTGCTGATCGCCGAGGTGCTCGTCGAGGTGGAGCCTCGAAAAGGACGTTGGGCAGACAAGTAGCGGTCGACGCGAGGTGAATACGTCAAGGTGGAGTTTGCCAACGAGGTCGTTTTACGAAAGATACTACATTGCGAGGCAAACCTCGAGAGAGATGGTCGAGGTGACGACGTAGATCTGAGATGATGCGAATCCTTCTCCGGCAATGTGAATTGACCCAAGTCTCTACGGACTCATCGAGATGGTCAAAACTAGTTTGTTGTTGAATCTGAGAAAGGCAACACGGATCCGCATCAGCGTGAATCTCCTTGATTCAGCGAGGTCGTCAAAGTGGAGATTGCGAGGTCACGCGGTGACTTTGTGGAATTGATTCGATTTTGGCAAAGTAAAGTTTGATAACCAACGTGGTGGAGAAGAAATGATTTCTGACTTCGGATTCTTGGTTATGTCGTCAACACGTTGTAGATGCTTTGGAAATCATCTCAGACTTAGATGGTTCAAGAGACGATGTTCATCGAGTGCCTCGTTTAAGAGTTGTTGCGACAAACGATTTGTTTGTTGGGTTTTTCTAATGATCATCCCGGTTTACGGACAAATCTGCGTTGACACACACCCGCTCCAAGAATGAACACCGTAATGACCAACGATTGAGCTGTTGGGTTTTTAGAGATAAGTCGAATGACTTGTTTGTGTTTACTGAGTCTGAGGCAACTATGGCTTACAGGCGAGTGCCAAAGATAAGTCTGTTCCAACTATGTTGTGTCTTTATAAGACTGGCGATCTGGTTAAGTTAGAACGATGGTCGTCCTGGTTTGCGGGCACGCCGTCGCTAACCGTTGCGCTTCCAAAGACGAATATGTTACGTTGTTACGACCAGCGATGCGTTAACTATGTTTTTTGATGTTCATCTTGGTTTACGGGCAAGTCTTCATTAACACGCCCGCTCCGAGAATGAACACGTTATTGTGTAAAGACCAACGATTAAGTTGTTGGGTTTCTAATGATCATTTTGGTTTACGACCATGTATTACATCGACACAGCCGCTCCTATAATGAACACGTTACTGCRTAATGACCAACGATTAAGTAGTTGGGTTTTCTGATAATCATTTCTTGGTTTACGGACGAGCCTCCATCGASGCGCCCGCTCCWAGAAAGAACASGTTAYTGYRTAATGACCAACGATTAAGTAGTTGGGTTTTCTGATAATCATTTCTTGGTTTACGGACGAGCCTCCATCGACGCGCCCGCTCCTAGAAAGAACASGTTATTGTGTAATGACCAACGATAAGTAGTTGGGTTTTCTGATGATCATTTTGGTTTACGAACATGTATTACATCGACATGGCCGCTCCTATAATGAACATGTTATCGCGTAGAGACCAACGATTTGTTTGTTGGGTTTCTGAATGAACATTTCGGTTTACGGGCGTGTATTACAACGACACGGCCGCTCCTATAATGAAAATTTTGCGATGGTACCAACGAGGTATGCTGGGTTTTGAGGCAATCACTTCGGTTTATGACCATATATTACAACGAAGCGGCCGCTCCTATAGTAATTACCAATTTATATAGCGCGCTTAACCCATGGTGGGTGTAGAAGTCAGATCTGGATGATGAAATAAGTTCGTCGCTGTGGCCAGCAGCGACGGTGATAGAGTCTGATTGAGTTAAGACTTAAGTAATCGGTGATGGACGTAAATGAGATGCAAACGAGAAGTAAGCTGATCTTTGATCTTTATTAATCATAGCATTTATTTCA